ACTACTAAAATGTCACCAAAAAATAGCCTAGCTTTATTTAGCATACACATTTAAAGATTTAAACATTTTAAATGTTTTTTTAAACCCTAAAACTGGCAAAAGCAGGAGCGGAATGTTGTGAGTGTTGTTTTTTTAAGAGTCATGATTATTTTGTTACCATTACCATGAGAGTATTTTCACAGCAAGGAAATAAGTTTGAATGCAAAATATTGCGACAATATATTATAACTGAGCTTTGATCATATACATCATCATTTAAAGTTACAAAGTGCTGTTAAGTTCATGTTCCTCATTTGTCAATTGGTTTGGTGTCACAGGATATCACTCAGTGGTGAATGAAGATGCGAAGTGATGATGGCCTCTGGTGGTGAGTTGTGGAAGTTGCAGTGGTGGATGTTAGTGTTTTCAGTGAGGTCCTTTCCATCGTTCACTGTTGTTTGCAGCTCTGACGAACGCTGCTTCTGCTACTGAGAGGCTGGTCACTGCTCATATCGTACCTAGCTGAATATGTCTGTTCTGTAGAAAACAAGAAAAACATCCTTTAAGCATGACTCCTGACACTGTTGTTAATTTTTAAGAAAATCGGACGGACTCAATACCCTAGACGCCATATTTAATTTAACGCGAATAAAAACGAGGCTGTGAGGGACAGACGGACTGACTTAAAAGTCATTACAGTGGTACGCACTGTATAGAGGTACTAGAAGGTCACGTAATTTTCACACAATTCACAACTTTCAAAACTGTTTCATTGAGGGAATTTTCTTCAGAAAAGACGTATTTAGCTGAACAATCAGAATTGGTTAAACAGCAGTAAAATCCATTGAATGCACTCGTTCGTCACAGCCTCGCTTTCCTGTCAAGAATTAAATATGGCACTACTTTGACTAATATTGCCATTGTTTTGTTGTTATTTCTTCACCGACAAAATTCATTCATCTTTCGAAGCAGCTTGACAGCATTAAACATGAAAGTAACAGAATCAGTAATGCAAACTTTCTTCAAATATGAGGCAAATACAAATTCAACAAAACAATGGTGTCAATATTCTTCTCAGGTCAATTAATCTGTTCATCTATATGATTTGAAAGTTTTGAATTATGAATTAAAACATAAATGGAAAGTAGCCTAAATGAAACCACTTCTGAAACTGAACAAGTAATTTAAAGTTTTACATTTTACTTGAAATTGTGATTGTTTTAAAGTGGTTTTATTCTCTCCTAAATTAGTCATTACTTTTCACACCAATATAACTCGACATATGAAGAACATTAATATCCTTTAATGTCAGTGTGTAATATCTTGAGCCTAAAGGACAAGAACATTGTCCTACCGTCCACTGTCCGTTGGTCCATTTTCCTTCTCGACCTTCTAAACTCTCTCACTTTTTCTATTTTATCATCTCTTTTTCGCTCTTCCTCCAATCTTCTCACTTCTTCTTTCTCCATTTCTCTGGCCTGTTCCAACACCTTCTCACTGGAGAGCATAGTCTCCCCATTGGTAGCCATCATTTTCTTGATCTTAGCCAGAAGACCAGCCACCTGGTCCTGCCCTGCTTTGGGATTGCTGTACAGAGCATGGAAACGGCCTCCACATTTCTCAATCAGCTTGTGTAGCTCGACGTTCAACATCACTTCTTGCTTTAATGTGGAGCCACGTAACTGCTTTCTGTCTAAGATGGTGAAGAGCACCAGGCTGTAACTCCAGGCTTCTGGACCAAACAGCTCTACATGTTCCTCCACGGCACGACGTTCACGCTGAGAGAACGAGAATGACAGTGGTACCACCACCAGCAGGGCATGGGCTCCAGGCTGGCACAGACTCATACTTCTCATTATCTCCTTCTTCACTGGCCATACTGATGCAGAGGAGCCATTGACGTTGAACCATTCCCAACCTGGGGTGTCAACCACCAGCACCTGCTGTCCTCTCACTAGACCCTGACATGGGAAACTCATTCGGGTCTTTACCCCAACCTCGTCAAAGACTTTCTTGCCCATAATGGCATTACCAACAGCACTTTTCCCAGATTCTGTCACTCCAGCCAGGACAATTCTCAGTTTAGGACAGTCAGAAAGACAAATGCCTTGTTCTGTGGATAAAAAGATAGACATGACAAAAGGCTAAATTTAAGATGTGTTTAAATTGCATATAAAAATTGTATTAATTTCATCGACAGTTTTAACAAAAATAAACTTATTTAATGCGTTTTTTCCTGTCATATCATGGCATAGTTTATTATGAACTGTTTGCATCTATTTGATTTTATTTAAATAATCACATTTTCAAAATGCATTTATTCAAATTGCTTAGAATGAGAATGAATTTGTTCAAAACAATTAAATGTATAGGAACAATACATAGCTGTTGAACAGGCAATATTCCATTACTTAAAACGTATGAGATTGAAATGAATTGGATTAAATGATGATAAATAAATGAACCTGGTTATTGTGCATTTAAAACACATTCAGTTTATTAGCAGTAATACAGAATCTTGCCTGTTTTAATAATATATGACTGACAAATATGCATAATGTTAAGTTAATTAGTTTATGTTGAAACTAAATGATGGAAATTGTATATGGAATTCAAATGCATAAATCCTAAATTTAGGTTTAAATTCTTAAGATATTATACAGGTAAAATTATAAAACACTTTCACTGCAAATTAATATTTCATCTCCATGCATTTATTTATTTGGCATCAGGGTTTATTTTACAATCATGACTGTACAGTACATGATAACATGGAAGGGTACAGCCAAAATAAATGTAATTCTATAGCCATTTAAGGGAAACCGTAAGCATAAATAATATTTTACCATATGACATTTCATTTACCATAAACTGTTTAAGTTACATGACAATTTTATGTTGCTTGGTCTGAATTGGTCGCAGTAAAAACAGTAATAAAAAGGCTGTATGAATATCAGCTGCTGGATATTGAAATTATTGCTCCCTCGATAATAGTATTATATAATAAGCACACACCAGACTGGTCTGTAGACACTAATGGCTTCATAAAATTTTCATTTGGTGCATGCCTTCTTGATTTGTAAGTTTAGTATAGGTCTTTTTCATTAAGTGTTACAAATATCACACACTGTAGGTCTA